GGAGAGACAGAGACGAGCCAATAATTCTATTTGAGTAAACCGTCTGGATTAAATGTGCCCCCTTCCCCACTTAAAAGAGCTAATAATCTCTTAATGTCCAAGATTTAATATTTATCTATGATCTTTGGATTTAGAATCAACCTTCATAATTTTTCAGAATAGCAGGGGCAATCTTATACATTATCATTTTAGGTAGAACCAGAACAAAAGACACTGAGTCAGCACTCCCTAAATTGAAGAATACACTTGCAAAGACACTATGTGTCCGTCATCTCTATGAAATTAGCATACAGATGTGTGTAGGGGCCTTTTGTTTGCAAGTGGAATTTGAAATGTTCATCAGATTCTAAGAAGGAATCAACTCCCCCCAAAGGGTTAACTGAAGTAAATGACATGCCCAAAGTCACATAGCTGCTAAAATCAGGATTTAGTTTCCAGTCTTCGGTCTTATTTCTCTTTCTTCCTAAGATACCTCCAAAAATGTAGTAATATTAAACAAAAAATCCACCTGAAAGCCAATTATAAGTTGTTTATTATTTGGAAATATTCACTTTAGCTTAAGTCTAAGAACACAACTGAAGAACTCTGGCTCTAAGATTTCTATGATAAGTGTTTCAAAATGTATATTTCAAAATTCCTAGACAGTTTTCCCAGTCAAAAGGACAGTTTTTGAGTTAGGTTGACATGTATAGGCTCCATTATCATGATTCAAAAGTGGCTAGAGTCCCAAGTTTGCTTTTGGAGAGAACAGCCATCTTAAGTCCAGTTGACTCATGCCTGAGAATTTTGGCTCTGCCAGTTACTAGCTAATGCCTGTAAGAAAGTTACTAGACTTTAAAAAGTTTAACAGTTTCCTCATCTCAATTTTGTATGACAGTGACTAGTTTTTGAGGTTGTTCTACACTATCAGTAAAATCTATACATGGTTTTATACACTATATATAAAATCTAAGACATGATGCCCAACACATGGTAAATACCAAGACAGTTATGTCTATCATAATGTCTTGTCTTTGTTGTTTAATTTAAAAGGAGGATTTTAAAGTTTGCTCTTGACATAGGCCTGGCCAATGACTTAAAAAAAAATTCCATGTCAACATGGCTTTAAAGTGAAATGCTAATTATAATTCTACTAATAGAAATGTAGTACTGGCAGCAGTGAATATCATTATAGTTTAGGAAAAAAATACCTTTTTTTATTCTGGACTGTGATAATTACATTGATAGTTATAGGGCATTACAATAAATAATCTGCCTCTAATTGATATTCCTGAATTTACAAGAAGTTTAAGATACATAAAAAGTCATTTGAGCTAAGAAAGATCACCTGTTAGGGACAGATGTAACATTCTGCAGTTGTAGGAGTCTGATGCATCCAGGTCACTGATGATTCCCTATTTTATGTTATAGCCTCAGGAAAGTTAGACCATAAAAAGAGAAATGAAATACTAAAATATGAACTTTGTGTTAATACAAAATGATAAAATGGATTATTTTAGTCAAAAAGGCAAGGCCGGGTGTTCTCATCCATGCTAAGTTACTTAGTTAAGTCATATCCTGTATCAGCGGGAAAGCAGGGTGAGTGATGTGGGCCTATGGAAGCCTTGAGTGAGGAATCAGAATTCAATTCAAATGTAAGCTGTATTAGTTGTTCATCTTTTGCACTGAGACTCAGGGCTGATTCTCTGTTTGAGCTTCAGTTTTCTCATCTCTAAACATGGATACCTATCTATACTAATAAAATATTTATACTGTTGCTTCATCAGACTGCTATGAGTATAGTAAATAAGATAGCTGATGTGAAAACTACATATAGCTAACTCTTAGAGAACGCAAAAGTGAAAGACATTAGCACTATGAAAACTGATACTCAGAAGTCAAAGTGACATAACGAGTTAGGACAGAGTTGTGACCCAAACCCAGATTTCCTTGCCCTTTACATTTTGGTTTGGTCCCTTTCTCTTTTCCTACGTTAATGAAATTATACTTTTCTGGACAAGTTTGGAGTCTATAAGATTAACCATATTATCATATATTATCTTATGCAATATAAATTTAATTTCCAGTTAGTCTTTTTTGACAATATTTTAAGTAAATGAAGTACGTCCTATCATCTCTCTCTTTCAGGGATTATTATTTTCTCTTAAGTACTGCCTAAACATGTTGGGATGCCAACAGGAACTGCATTGGTCAGGAATTCAATTGTGTTTTCATACTGCTTACCATCTAATTCAATAATTGTGAGCATTTTGTAATTAGGACTCTCTTAAATTTATTTTGCATTTTTCCCAGCATACATAAAATAACTGTAATTTGGAGATACATCATGAAATATCAGTATTTTCAAGGAGTTCAGTAAGCACATCAGTGCCCATACACAATTCCTTATTCTTTTAAGTTTTTCCCTTGTCATCTCTCAATGGAAGAATGTTAAGAGTTTTGCTCTGTTAAACCAAGATAAAGACAACATAAGTTACTGTGACAACTCCCAGTTTTTTCTTTAATGTCATCAGATCACTCTGCAAAATAATACAAAGGGAGTGATCAGAAACACAGAAGAACAACAAAGGGGTCCCATATAAACCACTCAACCACAGTCATGTAAGTTATCACCATGGGTGGAACCCAAAACAAGCACATTAAGTTTTATAAACTGTACGTGAAATCACATAGCATTTTAATATATTCTAAAACTTCGGCTCTGAGTTATCAAAGATCCCTTTACAGGAGAAGCCTCAGTTACTGCTTCTGTGGTTCCAGATGCTGGCATTTTTTCTGTGCTTAAGATATAGGATGATTGCTTTTCCCCTTAAATATCTGCTGGCTACGGCTTAGTCTAAGATAAAACTCTGTTCATGCTTGTAATCTAGATTAAAGCTCTCTGTATAGCCCATAAACTTCAATTAAGTGCTTCTAACCTTTTGCATAACACTTAAAATTGAAAAAACTTTTGGTTTCTAGGTCAGCTCTAGATTTAGGGTGTATTTGTGGACACAAAGCTATAAAAAGGCACGTTTTAGTCTGATTCAAGTGCTTTGGATCTTATTCTGTAAAAATAGCATGGGAATGAAATGTTCATAGTTTCCAACTATCATAATAAAGGTACAAGGAGGAATATTCTTTGTCCTTTGACATACTTTACTGTTATGATGGTGGAAAATAACAGGTTAAGGAAAATAATGACATAGCAGGCAAAAGCATAGGGAAGTGGTAGTATTGAGTGACCTAATTCTGAGTGGTTTGAAACAATACTGCAGGGAAACAAAGGCAGTTTGACAAGTTCTCCAGCCAAGATCATGCCAAATGGGTTCTCCATTTCTATTCATTTATTTTATTTCTATCATTTACCTTGCTTCACTAATGACAAAAAAGATTTCTTTCCTCTATGTGTGACTTGGTTTAGTTTTTATTTACCATGAAGATAATTTAAGCGACTTGAGACAAGAAATTGCTGCTGTTGTTTTTTCCTTTTAAAATGCGAAGAAAAGTGTGAGCCCTATATGGTAATCATCCACATATACCATTCACAGTTTATGAACAGGACCTCAAAAGAAGCAACTACCAATGTGACTCTATCCTGCTTGAACTAGCATTGGCGAAACTTTGATAAAAGTGATCTTTCTTTTTTTTTCAGTATGAAAACAGGTTAACCCCTGAACAACTAGTATCTTTAATTTCCACAAAAAGATTTATTATTTATTTATTTGTTTTGTTAGAACATTTTCCAACATCAAAAGTAAAATCAATTGTGAGAATTTTACAAAATATATCTATGTCACATAATACCATTTTGAGAAAAGGGGACTGAGGTATGGACTTGCTCAAATGCTGAAAGATATAATAGTTCTTGTTCTAAAACTCGAACTTAATGTGCTGTCGCCTTTGGTGCTGATGGGCAAAGTTTTTAAACAGAGACTCATTTTCAGATTAAATTTGGATGCTAGGGAGGCAGGTAGGACTTGGTCAGGGTTATGAGATAAAGTGGTGGCCATCATAGATTTTGGAAGCAGAAAACAGGGAAAGATACTTGAACAACTATATGTGAAAATATTTCAGTTGTACTGTTCTAGAAAAGGACTGGGTCTGAAGCTGGTATTATTTAATGCTTTATAAAACATCTGGAAGAGGGTAAGCAGTGAACTTTTAAGTATGAAAAAGCCACAATGCTCTTTCGGATGCCAGTGAGGATGAATATGGTATGTGGCAGTTGGTGGTCCAGGGCAGCTATTATGACAGAGGAAAGGATTTAAGTGACATTGTAAACTACTTTTTAAGAATAGCAATCCAATGCAGTGCTTCAGCCAAAAAGACTAACAAAATGCTGACTGTTGAACACAAGCTCTTGGGTATTTTTTAATATGCCATGTGAGAAGGATTTATTATTGGAAAGAGATGAATGGATAATACTCTCATGAATCCTTCAGAGAAGCTACGTACAGTTGAGGAATGATCCTCATCTTCTAGAAGCAATCCTTCCTTTTGGGATAAAATCCTTAGTACAACTGATTACCAAGCAGTCCACAAATAGATGCGTCAGACATTTCTAATGTGCTTTGTTTTTATTAATCACCACATCGCCATCACCGATTCCTAAACTTTTCACTGTCCTTAGTGATTATCCAGATTTATATGCAAATAAGCTCCTCACAATTTTTAAGTTACAGTCTATGGGCATCTTCTGATAATCACCTGTTTATTCATAACCATTAGCAAGCATCAGTAAAATGGGCAAGCTCAATTTGCTTCTTTTATATAAACATGAACCAAATGATCAACCTTTCATCCAGGGTAGAAGCAAGAAGGTGTGAGGGATGCTCTGTGTCAAGAATACTGTGTGCTCCAGTATTGGTATATTTGTATGAAAAAAGTGAGAATAAGCAGTGCCTAAATCTTAAGTAACTATGTTCATAGATGACTGAACACCTAGTTAAAACTGTATTTTCATGCACACATTTAAACCCATGGAAATAAAGGTATACATATCATCTGCATTTCCTTACCTTCTATTGCTGATAGGAGAACTCGAGAATGATCATAAGCGATTACATTTGCATATCTATTCTTTGGTTTGTTTACTTCCAAGTTTGAATGTTCCCATGTGAACTGCTGGCCAGGGTCAATCGACTTTAAAAAAAAACAGCACACATACACAAAATCAATACTGAATAATGTCAGATTATAGGCATTTATCACAAGTAACAAACATGATTTAAAAAGAAAATTTTGAAGTTACACTTCATCAAGATGATCCTAGCTGTGAAACTGAACACTGATACAACCAGAATAAGATGAAGTGATTAATCATTGGAAAAAACAGTGATAGTCACCAACATTGATTCAAATGGGGGAAAAAAATCAGTACAGATGTCCTGTTAATAGTGAAAAGGCAGGTTTTTTTTTTTTTAACTTTTCAATTTTCTTCTCTGTTGCTGTACTCTACAAGTTATCTTGGTCCAATATTCCTTCCAGTTCTGTGAACATTATTTTATCCTGATTCTTCTTCCTATTCTTTCCTTTCTGGACCTAACCTCACTCTTTAAGGTTGCAGAATATTCACTGGACTCACTGGGCACAAGCTCTTCTTTCACCTGCAGGGTTACATCTTGATGGCAACTTAGAATTTTGTCTGTGTCTCTGTAGCACACTATGACCACCATCACAAGGCAATTTGTACAATTAAAACAGGTAAGAATAACAGTAAGAAGGAAAGTAAGTTAAATGTAATAATCATCTTAGAATACTAATTTATAATCTAATACAGATAGGATCTAATCACTTTCTAACTTATCATTATGTGTTATTATGTTTACAAAGTTTGCTCTATATTCTTCATTTTAAACTTTTTTTTTCTGATTTTTAATGCCTCTCCTGATGCCTTAGTTCAACCAAAGTTGTTCTATAAAATATATCTTGCATAGCTATAAAATGATATATAAATTTCTTTTTATACAGAACCATTATTTTGAGACTGAATTCAGGCTTTGATTATAAAACAATGGGAAACTTTTTAATGTCCTGCAGTGTTATAGAAATGAAAGTATTTTTTCTTTCATCATAGCATACTGACACTTTTTTAAGATATAATTTCATGGTATACGGAAACATGAGTTTAGTAATTATAGAAACATGATTTTAAATGACCAAAATCAAGTTTTCAGAACTAATGATATATTAGGTTTATATACCCAAGATGAAATTCTTTAAAAAGCAAAAACACTGCTATATTCATAGAATTTTTAACAGTTATTTTTGATACTGGATATTTTCCATGCTTTTATGTCGATATATACAACTTGAAAGTAAAATATATCCAACAGCTGTTACATTAAGGATGCACACATTTTGTGTTTTAATGGATAGAGGTCAGCACAATAATAAACTCACAAGTGTAAAGAGTAAAGCCTATTAACAGTCATGAATAGCCTCTAAAAATACAGAAATTCTCAGCAGTATAGATTGCAATCTCTAATTTACTACAGATTATAAGACCCCTTTTCCTTTCTTAGCCTGTGCTAATCTGTATATAAACTAGTCAATCACTGAACAGTATTCAGCAAAATAATTATCCATGTCTTAAAAGTCTAAAGTGATTAGGGGTCCTTCTAGTTTGTTCTTCCAGAGAACCTCATCATCTTCCCTGCAGAATGTACTCCTTTCAGAGTATGCTGTGAGCTAAGGGGAGTTGAAGCATTCAGATGCCCCAACCCTGTGCCTTCTCCACACAAAGCAGCTCCATTTAGTGACCAAGCCCTGTCCTAAAAACTTCTCAACTCCATCCCAAGTCTACTATTCCCTAAATCACAGTCCTTCAGTAGCTGATGTCTTCTCTAAACCCTCACTCTAATCCATTCTTCATGCTTAAGTAGACATTCTAAACCACAGCCCTGAGCGGGTTAGGACTGTCTTTAAAACTCTCCACAGACTCTGGGTGGCCTTTGGCTAAAACTCTAAAGTCCTTTAGCCACCATCCTACCTAGACACGTTTAGTCAGCTTTGTATCTACAAAGATGGCTCAAGAGATGGTTCAACAATTAAAAAAAAAATGTTGCTGAGAAAAGTTCAGAAAGAGAAATCAGGGAGTAATTCTTTCTTACAGCATGGGTGTTAGAGAACAGACTTTGGAGACTGCAATGTGCAATGTATTAATTAGCTTAATACTTTAATATTCATTATCATGACTTAATAATTACGAATATGATTGTGAAAGTACAACTACCACTGATATTCCACTTTATGCTGATGAGCATTACTGAGTACATAAGCTTTTTACACAGTATTCTCCAAAATATTCCACGAAGTTCTTAAACTCACTGATAAAGTCATTCCTTTGGTGGAAGCCATTACTCCCTCTGATGGTCTTGTTACTCAGATTATGGTCATTCATATGTGTAAATGACATACATTTAATTATATCAGTGAAAATGCATCTATCAACTCAAAGACACTGTGAATCCATGGTCATTTCCACTCTTGCCACATATTTTCAGCCCTCAGCATGATTTATTTGATACCTACATAGTCAGTTCAGTCAATTCAGTTGCTCAGTCATGTCCAACTCTTTGCACACCCATGGACTGAAGCATGCCAGGCTTCCCTGTCCATCACCAAATCCTGGAGCTTACTCAAACTCATGTCCATTGAGTCAGGGATGCCATCCAACCATCTCATCCTCTGTCATCCCATTCTTCTCCCACCTTCAATCTTTCCCAGCATCAGGGTCTTTTCCAATGAGTCAGTTCTTTGCGTCAGGTGGCCAAAGTATTGGAGTTTCAGCTTCAACATCAGTCCCTCCAATGAATATTCAAGACTGATTTCCTTTAGGATGGACTGGTTGGATCTCTTTGCAGTCCAAGAGACCCTCAAGAGCCTTTTCCTACACCACAGTTCAAAAGCATCAATTCTTCTGCACTCAGCTTTCTTTATAGTCCAACTCTCACATCCATACATGACTACTGGAAAAACCAAAGCCTTGACTAGACAGATCTTTGTTGGCGAAGTGATGTCTCTGCTTTTTAATATGCTGTCTAGGTTGGTTATGACTTTTCTTCCAAGGAGCAAGCATCTTTTAATTTCCTGGCTGCAGTCACCATCTATAGTGATTTTGGAGCCTAAGAAAATAAAGTCTGTCACTGTTTCCATTGTTTCCCCATCTATTTGCCATGAAGTGATGGGACCAGATGCCATGATCTTAGTTTTCTAAATGTTGAGTTTTAAGCCAGCTTTTTCACTCTCCTCTTTCATTTTCATCATGAGGCTCTTTAGTTCTTCTTCACTTTCTGCCATAGCGGTGGTGTCATCTGCATATCTAAGGTTATTGATATTTCTCCTGGAAATCCTGATTCCAGCTTTTGCTTCCTCCAACCCAGCATTTTGCATGATGTACTCTGCATATAAGTTAAATAAGTAGGGTGACACTATACAGCCTTGACATACTCCTTTCCCAATTTGGAACCAGTTTGTTGTTCCATTTACAGTTCTAACTGTTGCTTCTTGACCTGCATACATATTTCTCAGGAGGCAGGTCAGGTGGTCTGGTATTCCCATCTCTTTAAGAATTTTCAACAGTTTGTTGTGATCCACACAGTCAAAGGCTTTGGAAAATTTACAACTTGGTAATGGAAACACAAGTTGTATATCATGTATGTTAATATATTTAGGCTTAAAGTGCGACCCATGAGATGAAGACTTGTAGGCAACAGGATAATGATAGTAATACCTGCCAGGTGATTATGCTTTTCCATGCAGTATCCTGTTTAAATTTCACAAGTTTTACAAGGTTTAGGTACTGTTTATTCTTCCGTTAGGAAGATAAGGAAATGGAAGAAAGACTAATTCAACCAATTTTACTGAGGGACTTCTCTGTGGCAGGTGTTTTGGTCGTTAACTAATTTGGTCACATGGTGAAATTCCATACATTAACCCTGTAACCCAGGTTTGGGTGATTTCAAAATCCACTGATGATTAACAGCTGGTAATTACTAATCCATGGCACCACTTCACTATCCAGAAAGCCACTGCAAAGTAAAGAAGCCCATCCTTTATCTTATCAGTCCAAATATTTCTTTCTAACTGATCATCCTGCGTGTAAGACCGGCCACTCAAGATGCCTGTTCTCTTGCTCTCCATATGTCCCCTGATCCACTAGTGCCTGCTTCATCTACCCCTATTCAGTGCCTGACCTTCTTACATGCTTGCCCCAGGCTGCAGCCAGGGATTGTCCTAATCTTCAGATGAGAGCATCTCCACCTGATGGCTTATCAGAGAGAAGGTTAGGGGTGGGTCCCTCCGCTAGTTTCCCGTAACCCACATGGCAACCTGAAGTCAGTTCACCTGTAACCAGTTACCATCCCCTCCCCTATTGTGAAGGCTGCTGCCATGTTCTGCCCAGTACTGTCTGCCGTCTGCACCCAGTGGGGTGTTGCTCCAGGACGTGGCTTCAGACACGTAAGTCCCCCCATTCATTAAACCATTGATGTCTCTGTTGCCAACTCCAGACTCTTTCTTCAGTCTTGCGGCTGGGCAAGCACAGGTCTGGTGGCCCTGTGGGGTGAAGCCCAACAACTGGTAGAGTGACCAGGAGACTGAGGAAACTCCTGTGAGTACCAGGATGCCGGGAAGGCAGGCCTGGGAATGGAAAGCTGTGGGCCCATCTTCAGATATGTGGGGCCTGAAAGTTGCAGATATGGTGCCGGGGTGGCTGTCCACTAATGTGGAGCCTGAAAGTTGCAGGCGTGATTCTGGGGTGGCCGCCCACCTGTCTGTGGGGCCCTGTCGTGGCTGTCGTTGATGAATGGGGGTCACCAAGAGAGTACAGAGAACTCACAGATACCCCAAGGCTGTTGGGGAGATAGATGTTGGCTGCTATTACAGTGGGATAAAAGTGGCGAGTGGCTGTGGGCTGGCTGTTGTTTTTTTGTGTTCAGAAAGTCGAGGAGGCTGAGCTAACAGCCTAGTTGAAGGTTAAGTGTTGATTCGAGTTCTTCTCATTAAAGTGAGCCATGTCAATGTGAGTGAATGCTACATATTATTATCTATTACTGCTATTTACTTAAAGTGAACTGGTTACTTAGAAACTGGGGGAAAAAAAAATCCCTGAAAATGTCCAAGGTGGGATTCTTTTGACA